TTAATCTTCTTGTAGCACGCAAAAAAAAATATTATTAACAATAATGTCTTATGATTAATAACTATGACTGCCAATCGACAAAAAGTCGAGCCTTCAAATTCTTCAGTTCAGTTGGTACTTAATTTATTAAAATAACATTATTCATAATAAAATTTTAATGATCCCAATACCGTCATAATGACTCAGCGAGATCCTTAACCCGAACTTTGATTTTGTTCCTTCGTCTGTTTTTTTTTTTAATATTATGTCGTTTCCTTTCCACTTTATGTTGCTGTTAATCATTTAAAAAGAAGTGCAAAGACAAAGAGCAGATCGTATGCGTCTAACTTTTTAGAATAAAATGGCAAAAAAGTTGACGCCTCATTTGATGGAAAGTGGCAATTAATCAGCAACTGTGAATATTAATAGCAATATAAACATCACAGAATTACACCGTGATGCCCATGGTACCTGTCATGCGTTGCTAATCTTGAAGACTATGGTATTACGCCTATATGCTTATTACTGTATTATTTCACCGAAATTACATCATCATCATATTTATTAATTGTCCATTGCTAAACATAAGCCTCCCTTTTGGGGGATTTTACCAGTAGTAGTCATGCTTGGCAACTTGGCAACCGTAGTTAGGATTTAGAAATGTTTTAAGAGGGACGCTGCTGTCCATCCCTCGCCCTCCCTTAGTTGCGTCTTACGACATTCACGGGAAAGGAAAGGGTGGCCTATCCTATACTGGGGCCACACGGCAATAATTCAAATGTCATATAAATTCCTACAGTAATTTTTTTCTACTAATTGTCTGCATATGATACTCGTAATCACCATTAACATACCAATTTGGGCAAATAGGCTCAGCAATGTTTTATTAAGATTTACTCTGCACTAAAGGGACAGATATGGGCAAGATGCTAATATCTCTAACTATTCACACTGACATAAAAACTATGAATATACATACATATCTTTAGTTTACATATCATTTAATTAGGTACCAAAAATTTTATTTTTTATGAAAAATCAAAACACACAAGACAGCCCCATTGCTAATAATATTTCCTATCAAGTCGTTCTCCACGTGGTTCCCGCTGGAAACCATCGTGATTAATTCTTGTTAAATTCATGAAGGGGTAAGTGACCTGCTTTCATTATTTATCATCTCTCACTAATGCTCCGCCAAGGTATACTTATAGCGCAGATAGGGTTAACATTCCGTTAAAAAAAAAAACTAAAAAATCATGATAATTTATGATTTCTACAATTTTTTTTTCTATTTTGTAATTACGATACGGAAAAAATTTTAATACGCGTAACTTGAAAGTACTTTAAGTACTAATTCCAAAGGCATGAGTCGTCACCAATATTAATGATTTAATTCTGTGCGACATTAAACGTGCCACAGTACAAAATTATTGTTTTAGTTTATTAACCACGCGTGGGCGGGTTCACTTTGGTAACAAAAATTAATGTCGTAACAAGCAAAAAATCTTTGCAGAACACCGCGGGCGTAGAATGAGTTAAGACGTAATTTTTTGTTCGTTACATCCAATTGTTATTGAATATCAGGGGACTATAATAATACTACTTGATTACCGTAAGATGCTTTTGTCTGCATTTCAGTAATAGAGACGAATTGATTATAATTAAGGACGCCCTCTATACGCCGGTGGGGCATCTGAGAAGCAAAATCCGAGACAGGATCATAACGGTTGTGTCGCTAGATAAAATACATGTACAAAAAGAGGACGCCACTGGATGCTATCAATTTAACACAGCACGGTAGACCCACGTTACTTATAAAAACGATTGTATAAAATTTATGAACCATTTGAAATATTTCACTAGCAAGTAAAGGTTTTTTTATAAAAACTATCGATATCGATATATTTGTCAGAAGAATATTGTAAATAGTTGTAGATACAACACTATAAATATTTATTTAATATCTCTAGGTGGTTGCATAGACTCATATTCCAGTTTCATTTATATAAGAGCAATGCCGACTCTTAATTAACATAGTGAAATTTATTTTACGTAGATATTCTTCTATGTTTCTGTAAATATTTATGATGTCGTAGCGACTAATTAAAAAATAAAATAAATGCGCTTACTTCTAATATTAATTTTATTCCAAAAAATACTTTATGTTGTACAAAAAGTTGCCTTCAAACTTTATCAAACTAATAAAGTATTAATGATAAAGATTTTCCTTCCAATTAAAAAGAAATGCCCTTATATCTATTTAGAATATGCAAAGATATCGCATACTATACGTAAAAAAGACAAACAAACCAAAAAGGTTTCCTTCTATAAGTCGATTGAAAAGAAAATACCTACAATGTAATTTGGATTACATATAAATAAAATTGGTGATTCATCTGGCGAGCAAATGTGCTTCGGTTAAACCCATAATATTAAAAGTAAGGATTTTAATAGCAGCCATCTTTAATGACTCCAGTGCATCTTAATCAGACAAATTTGGTGCGGGTTCGATATAAAAAGTAATTATAATATACGAATATGTACGTCTCTCGCATTTGTTTCCGGCTTTTAGAGATAAATAAACATGTTTTAAATAAAACTGTAGAAGGTTACATTTTACAATCAATTATTTAGAATACTTCGAGAATTCTGAATGAATGTGGACTTTTAAATTATTTTCAAGTTATTTAGATAAAGAAAAATTGTAGGCTAAGGAAACTTTATAAAGCCTAATACCGATACGTCGTATGGGAGGAAAGGGATTGTTAGTAATCGGGTTTAACTGCTCCATTACTAGCAATATACCCTAACAGGTCGACCTCCACATGGTTCCCCCTGGAAACCATCGTGGTTAATTCTAGTGGAATTATCTCGATAGGCTAACTGACCTGCCTTTTAATACTCACAAATCATCCCTCACTGGTGCCCTGCCAGTGTATACCGATAGCGCGGGCAGGGTTACCATTTCATTATCATCCATTAAAAAAATACCGATACGTTATATTCATAAAAAAATATGTAAATATTCTAAAATTGACTTATTTTAGTAATTTAATAATAATAATCTACTCGAACAAAATCGACAATTCTTTTCGATATACATACAATACAGTTAGCCTTTAAATTGTTATCATTAATTTATCACATTTTTTTTATTTGTACTGTGTGAACGTTTATAAAAACAATAAATCAAGTACGTGTAAAATATTTTTATTTATTTAATTTAACTCCAAACAAATATCAAAGTTGGCCGACATAATACGTAAGGGCGTTCCCTACCAGGCAAGCATGAAGCAAACGGAGTTGTTTGTCGGCAGTTCTGTACATTGTAGTAGAGTTATATGAATAATATTCTTTATAATTTTAGTTCGATTATCAGATCACTTTTAAAATAATCATTCGAGAATATTGAAATATTTAATTATTTTTGACAATTAAAAACTCAGACTTTATCGTATTTCAGTATGAACGCTCAAGGAGACAAGAATAGCAAGTATGTGTACAGCACCACTATTCTGTGAGCGATTATTCGAAATATTCCATTGGTATTCATTATAGTCATTCTGTAGTGTGGGCTAAAGGAATTCCTACTACATGGAAACGCTTTTACCATCATGAAGGCTTTCAAATGCTATTTGCGAAGGCAACGGAAAGACCTATCATCACATACATCTAGAGCGTCAAGTATCAAAAAACATCCCAAAAAAAATCAGTCAGCTGATGGTAAAGGGTACATTATTCTTTCACAGCAACAGTCTGTTCTGTAAAAAGAAACTTACTTCAATAGTGAAAACTCTGGTATGCGATGAAGACAGATTTGACACTATTAATTACAAAAAAAAAAAAAACAACAAAATCAGTTAAGAATTAGCAAAAACATAACGCAAAGGCCTATTATCGGATGCATACAAAAAAGTTATAAAAAATAGTTAGCTGATTGTGAAGTACTTACCATATAAGCAGATATTTCTTCACAATAAATGTCTTTATAATAAAGTTTTGTTCTACAAAAAATCAGCTTCAGTCGTCACAAAATTATTATTAAACTATCATGGGAGTAAACCCAAAAATAATCATAAAAATCGATTGAGAATACAATATAAAAAATAGAGGCAAAATGAAAACTTCCGTTTTGAAGTCGGATAAAAATTATTCTTCTAACAACACCACCTAAGAACTACGAGTACTATTATATCATTAACTTGCAATTTTACAGCCATGTTCATATAAGTAGCTAAATTGTCGTGTTTGACTCATATCAAAATAAACAGCATACTTATGATTCATTTCCTTTGCCTCGAGAGATTTTATAAATAATATCACCTGTTTGGCTGTATCAAATCGTGACGTGGCCGCCCTCACATGAAAACAAATCGTGAGTTACATACTTATTGTTATTAACCACAGTTAAATTAACCACGTGTAGTATAATCGATCAAATGAACATTATTATGGTCATATAGGTACTTTGGATCCTGCTTTAGTGACGTCAGCATAACCATTGATAAATATTTCCGTACCAAGTAAATTTTGAATTTAAATTGCTTGATTGCGTAGATTAAGGCTAGTACGTATATTGTTCTGACACCATTTGATCCGTAAAAAAAGAATGCCAGGCCCTATCCTTAATCTATGTACCAATCATTATTAAGTTGTTAATCATCTACGACCAAGGCAATCACAGAGTAATTAATCACTATGTTATTTTGGAATCGGCAATGTTATTATATTGTCGATGGTAAATTAATCTATGCAACCACCTCGAAGTACCAACACAATAATTGATATGTGTAATAATTTTACTATTATGTATTTATATTATATCTCTGTCCTAAATATCGATATCGATAGACGTCATAAAAATCTACCTACATTGCAGTGTAAAATTTTCGAATTAAAAAAATGAATGAAATGAAATGCTTACCCAGAATTTATACAGACTTTTTTTGTTTGAACTGATGTGTGCCTAGTAGGCAATATTAACCAGTGTTATATTTTATTACAAATTAAAAATTACTTACTTGTTGTCTGATCATGACGTGACTGACTCGCCCCCGGACCCGAACTGAAAGCACGTACTCGCCAGGGTGCGCTTGTGACTCTCGGACCAGAAACGATCCGTTCTTGCCTTTCTCCATAATTAAATCTTCAGCTTCCTTAGCCGACATTATACCATGGAACCATCTGAAAAGAAAATATCATGTTGAATATTTTTTTTTATTTTTGATATTAACGTCATCTAGAAATAATGTCACAAATTTCCAAAAATGACCTGCAATGGAATAAAACAAGAACACCTTAAGACAATTAGCGCCTTATCCTGGCCAAAATTATAAATGTAATACCAGTTTAAAAATTATCAGAGGACTTTGTACAAAAGTCGTGTGATTGAGCACCTCTCTCCCATTCGTGTTTCTACCGCGAAGCAGTTGTGTATGTATGGCTGTTTTGATTTGAAGGGTGGGATATGGCATTGAATTTACAGGGTATAAAGGAATAACACCTGAGTCCTCAGGAATATCAACATATGGGGGGTATCATGGGCGAAACAGTATAATCTGTTATGTGCTGTTTCCATCAGGTAGACCGTTAGTTTTTGCACCGTTCTAAGTTGTATAAAAAAAATGTAAAAGAGAGTATGTTTGTTGCCTTATAGTACCTCAACGGCTTAATCAATTACTAAGATATTTTATATTGTATAAAAAAAACCTACTATATATAACGGGCGGTAAACATATCCCAGTCACGCGGACGAAGTCGCGGTTAAAAGCTAGTATTAAATAAGTGTCATTAGACAGTTTAAGAACAAAACAAAAAAATGTGGGCAACAAAGGAAACTAGTGAAATTGGAAATAGGAAATATATGTATATTGGCAAAAGGAAATTAGAAGACTAGATCCGTGGAGGGAAGCCAAAAGGAAACCATAGAAATGAGTGTCAATTTCGAATTTGGTAAATAATAATATAAAAACTATAAATAATATATTTGGCCAGTATTCCATACATAATAAAAACGAAAAAGCAGAGAACAAGAATTATGAAAAAATCAACAATAATATTACAATCAAATATTTATAAACAAGTCGTGCACTGCTAGTTAGCCCTTGATGCTCGATGATGAAAGGACAACGTTCACGATCGACCAAGCAGAGCGGATCCGTTTTATTCGCATAATAGGCAAGTATCTAAATAAAAAAAAAACCGAAGGTTGTTATTTTTATCACTTTTTACAAAGGAAGTAAATATAACTACTAAGTAAGATAACGAAGACGCGCTGTGGATCAACGATTGCTTTATATCTATCTATATAACGTCTCAATTAGAGGGGGAAAAGGGATTGTTAGTAATGGAGACTGAGAATCCCATTGCTAGCAATATACCCAAATAGTTCGACCTCCTCGTGGTTCCCCCTGGAAACTATCATGGTTAATTCCTGATGAATTCATCATGATGGGCTAACTGGCCTGTTTTCCTTCTCATCGATCACCCTTCACTGGTGCTCCGCCAGCGTATCCCGTTAGCGCAGGCGGGGTTACCATTCCATTTTCATCCATCAAAAAAAAACATCTCAATTAGAAAACGAATCTACGAGTAATAACAATTATATTATTAAAGAAAGAGATAAAACATTTTAAAAGGTAAAATAAGTTTTTTTATACAACTTAGAATGGCAACAAGCTGACGGCCCACCTGATGGAAAGCGGTAACCGTCGCCTATAGACATGAGCAGTACCATGGACGTATAAGAGTATACTGTTTCACCCTTGATATCCCCCATGCGTTGCCATTCCTGAGGACTCAGATATTATTCTTCTGTGCCCTGTAAATTATGAGACGTTTGACATTTCATGGATCATCATCATCCAATCAGCCTTTAACTGTCCATAACTGAGCATAAGCCTCCCCCTTGTGGGGTTCTGCCAGTAATTGTCATGCTTGGCAGGCGTATTGGCAACCGCAGAAAGGTTTTAGAGATGTTTTAAGAGGGTCGTTGCTGCCTATCCCTCACCCCCTCTTAGTCGTCTCTTACGACATCCACGGGAAAGGAAGGGGTGGCCTATTCTATGCCGGGACCCACACGGCCAATTTTCACGAATAAGGAAGTAAAAAATCGTATTCTGGTTCAATGACCAAAAGGCAATAGTAACTAAATAATGGAACATATTAAACTGTGAGAAGAAATAACAGACAATATTAGCAGTTCGCACATTGTGTTTGCAAAAGAATCAAACTACTGTCTATGGGAATCGAATTCTTTTCTTAGCATAGATTTTTTTTTCACTTATTAAGACATAAATAGTAAATGACTTAAAAATTAGCCAATACTACACAATGAAGGGAAGGAATTGTTACAAGTAGTTATGCGAACTACCAGTCTCATTGCTAGCAATTTACCCTGTCAGGACGGCCTCCACGTGGTCCCACTGGAAACCATCGTGCTTAATTCCAGTTGTATTCATCTCGATGGACTAACTAACCTGCCTTTTCAATCTCACCACATCATCTCTCACTAGTGCCCCGCCAGCGTATACCGTTAGCGTAGGCGGGGTTACCATTTAATTATCATCCATCTAGAAAAATACTACATAATTTGCTATTTTCCGCAATTCTTTTCTTAGTTTAGTTTTTAATTTCACTTTTTTTCTTTTCTTTGGAATATATAAATTATTTGTTGATGTAATTTAACTATTGTTTAACATTTAATGTTTATTTACGAAAAATTTTAAGAAAATACGATTTAGCGACTCGCGCTCTAGTATTCTATATTATAAATTATAATCTATGTCACTATGGCTTTTCCCGCTTAAACTAAGATGAACAGTACCTAATTCATGGTATAATACTTTATACCAAATTTTATTCCATTTAACTCATATGTTTTAAAGTAATTGAATAAAAAAATATACTAATAAAAATTGCAACCTTGCATTTTCAATATTACTTAGATTAGTTGTATCCCATGGCTTTGTCCGCATGAATTATTATTATGATTTGAATGAAATTTAGTAAACAGAGAGTGAATTAATATGTACATTTATCTATAATATGTAATGCCCAATAGGCCACTTTCATTTTAATTCAAACAGACAGAGCTGTAGTTTTTGTATTTTTATTTAATAGGTAACCGTAGAATGGTAAACTTGTCTTCGCTATCGGTATATGCTGGTGGTACACCAGTGAAGGATGATAGGTGAGGATGAAAGCAGGTCAGTTCGCCCATTATGACGAATTCAAGAATGAACCAAGATATTTTCCAGGCGGAACCATGTGGAGATTGACCTGACAGGGTATAATGCTAACGACGGGGCTGCTAGACCCCATTACTAACTATTTTCTCCCTTATATATATCATATCATCGTATATTTGATACTTATATACTTATATCTAGGTCTTTATTATGTTATTATATTAATAATGTAAATGCCTACTTTAAGTACATAGATATATTTATGTATAGAACGGAAAACCTCTTGGAAGTGCTAATAAAGTGTAAATTGGCAGACATTATCACCATTGCGTGTTTGTACTTGAATATTTGATAGGACAGTGTACTTGTAGGCTTCGACAGAGGTCATCTCGAATGACGTACACGGTATTATGGCGCAGAATACTTATTCTACATCAACAATATGGTTTTACTGGTATATAATAAATGAAATATTTATCAAGTTCAATGAAACCATTATTTACAAGTGTAAGTATCTCGTACAAATTATGTTTCTGAACGACGTAACCTTATGTTTTAAGTATTGTTCATCTATACTTACTAAACCAGAGGGAGACTTTGTACAAAAGTCGATTGCTTGGGTACCTCTGTCCCATTTGTGTTTCTACCGTGAAGCAGTTGTGTTTGCATGGCTGTGTTTCGGTTTGAAGGATGGGATATGGCGTGAATTTACAGGGTACAGAGGAATAACATCTAAGTTCCTAGGAATGGAAACGCATGGGGGGTATCATGGGAGAAACAGTATACTCTGTTATATCCATGGTACTGCTCATGTTTATAGGCGATGGTTACCACTTTCCATCAGGTGGGCTGTCAGCTTACTTGTCATTCTAAGTTGTATAAAAAAAAAAACTAATATTATAAAGAGGTGAAATTTTTAAGTTTGGATGTTCAGGGTAACCTCCGGCACTACTGATTCGATTATGGAAATTCTTTCACTGTTAGAAAGGTATTCTATCTCTAAGTGCTATATATACTACTTTTTATTTTAGTAAATATACATTTACTATAATTAGTCACATAAATTTAAATTGAAGTTTGCAAAAATTTTATAATATGGCGTGCGCTACCTGAGCTGTTTGAAATAAAGAAATAAAATATATAGCAAAAATATGTATTACAGCTAAACTGTACAAAAAAGTTGACGACAAAATATCTCACCATATCTAAGTATATATATATATATATATATATATATATATATATATATATATATATATATATATATATATATATATATATATATATATATATATCAGCTGAAAAGATGGTTTTTATATTAAAAGTAAAATTAATTTCACAAGCGGATTATTTTAAAATCTTATAGAATATTAGTGCAGTATTTTTATGCATCTTAGAATGGCAAACAAGCTGACGATCCACCTGATGGAAAGTAGTAACCGTCCTGAGGACTCAGATGTTATTCCTCGGTACTTTCACGCACGCCAATATATCAGCCTTACTAAAATGTGTTGAACAGTTTAAAAGTTACACAAACAAATATTGCACGCGTGCGAAGCCGGGGCGGGTCGCTGGTACTTAATATGATCCCGCTTCCTGTATTAATGTAATTTTAGGTGAAACAAAACATATTTCATTTCATTTACTTAAAACTGCTAGTGGATGTTTCTAGATTTTATTTTCGATTTTCTTTTCGAATCACATTTACTATTCCTACTCGAGATCGTAATTTTGTGTGCGCAGTAGGTTTATTTACATAATTACAACATATTCTAGGCATTTAGTATGTATTAACCGGTACAAACCGGTTCTGTAGGACTCTGTTATGTCACCTATCCACATTGGTTGAAACCATAGTTTTCTCAGGTTTATTTTGTTCGAGCTTTATATGTATATACATATAAACAGGTAGTGCATCAATTTATTTATACTATATATTACATTAATTGACGAAAATAAGAAGGAGCCTATGTCTTTATATGTACACCAAATTTC